GAGCTGACCTTTGAAATTTTCTGTTCAGCTCTTGTACCTCCTCATGTCTTCCATTTGCTTTAGCATCTCTACGCTGGAGAGCTAGTCTAAGTGTCTCTTCTGACATCCATTTTGACCTTTTCCTTCTTTCTTGTCTTCTTAATGACTTTCTACTTTCTTCCTGTATGATGTTCTTGATGTCATCCAACAACTCTTCTGGTCTTTTCGTCTTTAGTGTTTAATGTATCAAATCTGTTCTTAAGATATCTAAATTCAGGTGGGATAAATTCAAGGTCATATTTTGACTCTGGTGACTTGTTTTCATTTTCTTCAGCTTCAGTCTGAATTTGCATAGGAGCAGTTGATGGTCTGTTACACAGTCTGCTCCTGGCCTTGTTTTGGCTGATAATATGGAACTTTTCTATGGTTTCTTTCCACAGATGTAGTCAATTTGATTTCTGTATTTTCCATCTCTGGAGGTCCATGTGTATAGTCTATTATGCTGTCTGAAGCAGGTATTTGAAATGAACAAATCATTGACTTTGCAGAATTCTATCATGTGATCTGCAGCATCATTTCTATCACCAAGGCCATATTTTCCAACTACTGATCCTTCCTCTTTGCTTCCAACTTTTGCATTCCAGTCGCCAGTAATGATCATTACATCTTGATTGCCTGTTTGATTGATTTCATGTTGAAGAAGTTGGTAGAATTCGTCCGTTTCATTCTCATTTGATTTAATGGTTATTGCATAAATTTGAATAATAGTGGTATTACCTGGTCTTCCCTGTAGGCGTATGGATATTATCCCATCAGCGATGTGTACCTCATGACTGATCTGGATATGTTCTTTTTGACAATGAATGCAACACCATTGCTCTTCAATTTGCCATTTCCAGCATAGTAAACCATGTGGTTGACAGATTCAAAATGGCCAATACCAGTCCATTTCAGCTCACTAATGCGTAAGATACTGATGTTTCTGCATTCCATTTTATTTTTCACAGTTTCCTAGATTCAGTCTTCATACATCCTATGTTCTGATTATTTATGGATGTTAACAGCTGTTTCCCTTCTTTTTGAATCGAACCACCTCAGCGAATGAAGGTCCCAAGGGCTTTACTCCATTCACATCATCACGGTCAACTCTACTTTTTTTTTTTTAATTCTATTTTTAGGAGACAACTCTTCCCCAGTCACATTTTGAGTGCCTTCCAACCTGAGGGCCTCATTTTCTGGCACTGTATCTAACAGTGTTTCTCTGCTATTCACTAGGCTTTCAGTACTAAATATTCGGAAGTAGTTCTTCTCTCCTTCTTCCTAGTCTGTCTTTGTTTGGAAGCTCATCTGAAATCTGCCCACCATGGGTCACCCTGCGGGTATTTAAAACACCTGTAGCATAGCTTCCAGAATCACAGCAACTTACACCCCCCCGACAGTATAACAAACTGACAGACAAGTGGTGGCAGTAGTTAATAATCCTGCTTAATTGCTATTGCCAGACTGGGCAAATTGTAATTTATAGCAATTCTGAAACTGGAAAAGAAGAATGATAAACAATATGATAAAGACTTACTAAAATTATTAGTAAAAGTACAAACTGTACATTGTCAACTAGCAAACCATTCTTATGAACGGCATGTGACATAATATTCTTGGCAGCTGCTTTCAGCTTGTCCATGTCACCATGATTCTTCTGGTAAAAGTTACTTATAAAGCTGTTTTTAAATAAGCAGCCTTTATTTCCTAAGTTGATACTTAATTAATAATTTTGCTAATCATTTACTATGTGGCAGGTACTTTCATTTAGTATTCTTCCAGTGACTTGATGAATTGAGAGTTGTTTTGTCTGTCTTAGAGATTAAGAAACAGAGACTTTGAAAGTTTTAGAAACTTATCTCTGTGACTAGACATTACATATAATATCACAAAATATTGGTTGCCTGTAATTGGTTTTAGATAATGTATCAAAACTAAAAAGAAGTGCATCTCCAGGACAGAATGGAGGGCTATTGAAACTAAATTAATGGATGTTTGAGAATAAATTTAACAAGTTTGCTACTAATTGGAACATCAGTCTTGTTATTGAGGGTAGGTTTAGTTTCCTTGTTGTTGTTAAGTGCCTTCAAGTTGGTTCCAGCTTACAGTGACCCTGTGTAGGGAGGGTTTCCAAGAAGCAGATGGCAAGTTTGAACCACCAGCCTTGTGGTCCACTGCTTATCCTACAGCACCATGTCCAAACTCCTTAGTTCCCTAGCCACTGAGTAGACGCTGGATTTGGTGAATGTGTACATGTTCTAATCAAGTGTAATAATACTCATTAGGGAAAAGGAATACAATCTGATAATTTTTTGTGAAGACTTGCGTATGCTTAATCTGTGAATTCAAAGCATCTTTTAAAAATTTGCTTCTTTTCTTATTCCTAGGTGGTAGTGAATATATGGGGAGAAAAATGGGAACATTTCAAATAATGCTAATGAAGTTAGATGATTGCAATCTGCTGTATTGTGAGGAAAAGTTGTTAGCTGTGAAAGATGAGGACAGAATTAAAATATTACCATGACTGGCATTTGATTTGAAAACTGCAAAGATAAGCTAGGTTCCTATTTATGAAAACCATCCTCACAGCCTGATGAAATATCTTTTAAAAGGTTCTATAGTTACCATGGATACTTGCTAGTTTTGATAGAGTAAGTTGTAATCCATATTCAATCATCTGAGGTGTAGTAGCCAAAAAAACCACCAATTAAAATAAAACTATCTTCATCTCTAAATTCTTATAGTTTGGAGATGGAAAGCAGAAGTAGCCTAGAGTTTTGTTTAACTATCACTGATTGTAAAGCCATATACTTAGGACAACTGTTGCTTGGATTTGATCCTTGTGCTTACTTTTTATGTACAACTTTTTCTTTTAACTAATAAAGGGAATTCCTCAGAGTTGGCTTAGGAATTTAGGTGGTAGACCTTCTGAAAGCTGACGAACCCTAAGCAGCATACTCAATTTTGAAAGCCTTAGGGACACAGACAATATTGAAGGCATTGGTCCCCATGGTAACATACTTGCATTTGACCCCAAATTGACTGGTTTATGCTTAGCTTCTTTTAATTGCTGTATATTGACAGCTGTTTTCAAGACTATTTATAAACTGTCAGATAAATGAGCATGTGTATAAAGGAATGCATACCATGCCCTTCGGCTTATCAGACACTTAGATGACAAGAGTTCTGCATGAAGAGTTACCTTGGTGTTTTTGGCATTTCCTAAAGTGTTGCTATGAGTTGTAATCAACTCAGCAGCACTGGGTTTAATGTGTCTGTCACATAGTGGAAGCACAAAGCCTTTCAAATGATTTAAATATTTTTCTCTATTCTCTTACAAAACAGGTGACAAAAGAACTAAAACAGTATGACAATAAAATAATAGAATGCAAATTTGAGAATAACAGTTGGGTCTTCATGAGACAGAGGACAGACAAAAGTTTTCCTAATGCCTATAACACTGCCATGGGTGAGTATAACAATCTATCAGTGTTTGTTACATTAAAAATAAAATATTAAGGTGTGAGAACCAAACTGTGCTGTCTTTGTTCTGCTTGATGGGGAATCGAATCACTCGGATATCATACTTGGTTGAGGGGAAGGTGTAGTGTGAGGTCTGTACCCTGTTCCAGACCAGTCAGCTCATATGGTCTCTCTAGACTGGTGGGTCCGAAAAAGGGCAGAATAATAGGATGTATACAAGTTGAGTCTGTTGAACAACAACAACAACAAAAGCCATGATAATTTCAGATCTATTCAAAACTTTAAAAACCATTGTTTGCCAGATGGTAAAAGACAAAATTAGCAGGGGAAAATGTAATTTCCAGCTCCTAAAATAGCTTTACAAACAATAGAGGACAAAGTAAATGAAAACCATCCCCCTAAAACTCTGCTATGCTGTCCTAGCCTTCAGAGTTGTCTTTGGGTACAATATGAATGCTTTGGGAATTCAGAGTAGTAAATCTTTCATGGTATCAATTAAAGTTTATGTGATAAACTACCAAGAGTAGCAGTTGTTGCTCTGCATTTCAGTTTTGGTAGAGTTGAAAAAGAGGATAAAATCCAAGTTTAAAGGTTAATAGAATTGTGTAGTATTGGAGTGCTTTGTAGATGATGATGATTATATAATAAGCTTATGAGGGGAAAAAAAATCGCCAGTATGGGTATTACAGCTTAAAAGGTAATGTTATATATTTAAGGGTTTTTGTTGGAACTAGCATCTGTGTTCAGATGAACTAATTTTAGAAGTAGGAATAATTAAGCCAGTATCTTTTGTTCCAAAACCAAATAAGTAAACCACATTAAAAGGACTGGTGTTACAGTATCGCTATGAGTCGGAACTGACTCCACGGCACATAACCACTACCACCAAGAGAAGATGCTTTGTTTACTAGGTAAATTTGTTATGTGTTACCTTACTGCAAATAAGTTGTTATATAGAATTATGTGGTCTGCCAACTCCGGTGGAACTTCCCAATTCCATGAGCATGTTGGCTGATTCTCACCTGTTAGGTGATTCAGATTGGACATCCTTCTGAGTAAAAGACTGCAAGACTTGCTGTATTCTCTGTAGAAAGTTTGGTTGAACATGGACTATGTGCAATGTATTGTGTTACGTTAGACCCCATAAAAAACTGTTTTGAAGGGATAGAGATAACATTTTTATAACCCAGTGGTTTTGCTTAAAAATTAATAGTACAGTAAAGAGTGTTGTTGATGTTGTTAAGTGCCATGTAGTCAGTTTGACTCATAGTGGCCCTTTACAAGAGCAGAAAGCTTCATCTTTTCTCTGGTGTAGCAGCTGGTAGGTTTGAACTGCTGACCTTGTGGTTAACCATCCAGTGATTACTACAGCACCACCAGTACTCTTTGTAAAGAGAGTTGTTGTTATTGTTCACTGCCTAAGTGCCGTCAAGTCAGTTCCGACTCATAGGGTTTCTGAGGAGTGACTGGTGAGCTTGAACCACTGACCTTATGGTTCAAATCGACCTTGCAGTCCAGTGCATTAGCCTGCAGTGTCACACCAGTAGCCAACAGAAAAATACTTAATTTGGGAGTAGGGGAGGGAGGAGACTAGTTTAATTTGAAGCATGCCACCCAAATCTATAAATTGTAGTGCTTAGCATATTGGGATGACAAACCTTTTTCCCCTTTCTTATATGCTCGGGGTGGTTTAATTAACCCTTATGTGAGACACGTGTCTCCTTTGTCCACAGCTGTGTGCAACAGCATCTCAAACCCTGTCACCAAGGAGATACTGTTTGAGTTCATTGACAGATGTGCGACAGCTTCTCAAGGACTGAAGAGAAAGCATCACCTGGACCCTGACACAGAGCTTATGCCACCACCACCTCCAAAAAGACCTCGTCCTTTGACCTAAGACCAATCTGTTTTTAGGGTTGAGAGGAGAGATGAGTGAGAAAAAATGCTGTTACCCCATTTTTGCGGCCAGAGAAATTGAAGAAAGAGTGTGATTGATGTTGATATACACTTGAAGGTTTTTTGTTTTTATTTGTTTTTTAAAGAAAGGTATTGTAGCTAGCCTGTAAATATTTGATGTATTTGTTTCCTCAGTGCTACAGTACATCGTGGATTTATATATGATAAACTAAGCCTTACCTTGTGGAATCTGAAGATTGAAATATCCAAAGGTTTAAACAAGATTGAAATCAATGAAAAAGAGGCCTTGTTTATATATGGATAACTTTCACCTTTAACTTATAAAGTTAGCAAGCTAGAATTGTGAGAGCGTAGAACACTGCATTTTTTTAGAGGTTGTGTTTCAACCATGGTAAATTTCCCTTTAAAAAATTTAGGCAATGGCATTAAACATTCTTGCTATCATTATCATGCATTTCCTACATTTTGAGATTCCTGTATCCAAAAACACATGACAAATTGTTAAGTATTACACTATATTAAACAACTTGGTATGGTTTTATTTTAAGAATTGTTTTTGGAAATATAAAAGCAAAAAGTAGAAGTAAAGCCCACTTTTGTGAATTGTTATCTTTCTAAAGCAAGAATATTGATTAGTTCCATCTGTTTCTATTGTTTGAACTACAGCGTAGATCCCAGTGTGTACCTTCTGGCAGTGCTTTTGAGTTCCTTCAGAGAACTTGGATGGACATCACGAGGTCCTTTATGTGTTGCTCTCCTGAGAGTGTTTTGGTTGTGTTTGTATGTGTGTGTGTGTGTGTTAATGCCAAGGCTATTTCTGCCTTACCTCAGTGGTACCAGCACATTGTAAATTACATTAAAACTCACAACTCACTGTGATCTGTAGGAGTGATATCAGATACAAATGATGTTGTGTTATTCCCTCTGACAAAACGGCAAGTGAAGTGCCAGTTGATTCCTTTGATTAGAAGGTATTGTCAGTGGAATAGAATGTTGTCACTAAAACATGGTCTCCCACTGCTAGATAAATGCAGAGGCAAGAAGTAGACACTTGTAGGAACTAAACATCAAGGAAATTAAGACATTTATTTTCAAAGCCAGAATTGTATCTATATTCTTTTCTGGGGATGTTATTTCTACTACATACCTGCATTTTACAAATCGACTACTAGATAATAGATTTAAAGAGCAGCTAATTGGTCGTCTGCCATTGTCGAGAAAGTATGTTCTGATTGGTTTACGAAGGAACTCAGAATTAGCCAATTAAAGGCAAATGTATTTATTTTTAGAGGTACAAATTTAAGTGTATGTATTTAAAACAAATTTTCATGATCTGAATTTTATATATGTATACATATGTCTATGCATATATACATGAGTATATGCAGCAGTGTCTATTCTTCTACTAACACAGTCAGACATGAAAATCTAAATGGGTTACCTAATAGACTGAATAGCTGACAGAATTTCTATATGAGGTAGCACAGATTAACCAAAAATGTATTTATATTCACCCAAGTTTTAATGTTTTTACACAAAGTTTTCTCCTGTAGTGCTTTTCTATGTGAAATACTAGAGTCATGTGTGGGCTTTTTCATTTTGTTGACCCCAGGTTATGTAGTATGTAGTGAGTTTATCCAAAATGCCATTGTAGTGTTTATCTCCTAGAGTGTTTGGGCATTAAAGAGATGAAAGCACCTGACTACCACAAAGACTATTGAAACAGAGACAGTTTCAGGGTTTCATAGTATCTTTTGCAAAGTAGATTTTTTTAAAAAATCCTATGCAAATTCAAATAGTCTGGTGTCTACTTCACCTAGACTAGTGACTCTCCTCACACGGTAAGTTGCTTTCTTCCAAGCCTGTGTAAAGGCAGAGCCCTTTTGCAGATGGAACAGCAAACCTTTGCCAACGATCTTTAATGGAGTTAGTGTTTATGGTAATTGTAACCTTTTAAATGAGTTGTGTGAAAAGAGCATCTCATTTTTAGTACATCTAGATATTTTCTCCTTGTCTTTGTGCATTTTAGCAGAACTTAATTTTCTTAATTTTTCTTTTCCTTTCAATTATAGTGATGTGTATGTAATAGTCAACCTTATAACCAGAGCCCAGTTAGCTTCTTAATACACTATCATATGCAGCTTCATTGAAAGTCATCTAGGTCAGGGGGAAAGACCAGAGACAGGATACCATGACGGAAACACTTCCCTGCTCAGCCCACTTCATAATAACTATTTTCTGAGCTTGAAATTTTATAGACAAGAGTAATCAAACTTTGCTGTCCTGAGTTATGACATGTAAAGCCTTTGGTTTGTATTTGGAAAAGGTGTAGGTGACGACTGCCTGGGTGGTTACATTTGCTTTCCGTGAAATGCTCAGACAATGTCAGGACATTCCTTCTCTAATTGTGTGTCAGTGTGCATTGTAATAAAACCACTGATTTCAAAGAACAGAAACTGTATCTCCTTTGTTTTACTAGGATGCCTTTGCGTCAGCCCTTTGTTTAATTAACATCTTTGTGGCCCTTCTATGGCTGGTGTCAGATCCTGCTGCCAGTAGTTAACCATAGCCCAACATCATCCATGGTTTGGGTGCACTCAAGTGATTAGCATAAAGACTTGGAAATTTCTTCATATATCTTCCCAAGAAACCAAGAAATTTGATCGACATGGTGGGGGTGGGGAGGCGGGTAGTTTACACCTTTTATCTTTAGAGTGGAGGGGAGTGGTGGGAAGCACATCTTTATGTGATGTTGATAACATTTCTGTTCATCCATCTTAACAGTTTACAGTATGACTATGTATTCTGTTACATTTTTTTTTATGTGTTTAATACTTTTTGGAATACTCAGCAGTATTCTGAAGTGATAAAATAATGAACTGTCAAATTTTGGGGTTGACTATACATTTTTGTAACATGGAATTTGTTATTGTTAAAGGTTTAAATAATACTACCGTTTTGAGCTATGCACAGTCAGTCGTAGATTACAAATGAGTTTCATTCTAAGTCTGCCTTTAACTTAAATTTGTACCTAAGTCAGAATAGTTACGTCCTGTTCAGCTCTAATGTCAGTCAAATGTTTGCCTTAGTATATAGTGTACCTTTTTATGAATTAAAAAAAAATTTAAAGAAACACGTCCAGATATACAGTAGAACATCTTTAGCATAGTAATACAGTAATAATAATGTTTTCATGTGTCTCATAAAATAGAACCTGTTTGTTATTATGAACCATTGTATGTATCTTGAATTTTTGATATAACAGGTTTTACTGAGGTTGTAGGTGAATCAGAGGTTCTTAACTGGGCACTAGTTGTTTCTGGTTCCAAAGCTTTCAAAGTACAAACCCAGTTACTTTGAACTGAGCAACACAGTGATGTGGTAGAGAAAGTCCAGGACTAGACACTGACTGTGTCTATGCTCTTCCTCTCATTGGTCCTGTAATCTCTTTAGAACTCTTTTAAAAAAAAAGTTTTCATATATGAAATGCCAAGATTGGACCAGATATGATAAGTGGAATCATTTCAAGTCTAATACGATTCTTGTGTAGAGCCAGTGCTTTATAACTCTTTTGTATTCACAATCATAAAGTATTACCATTACTAGATATTTCACCAAGTACTAATACTGCCCTAAACACAACAATCCTATGGAGCTAGGTACTAATATCCCTATTTTGTAGCTGAGGAATCGGAGATTCAGAGAGGTCAATTTACTCAAGATAACAGTTTTTGGAACAGCAAATGCAATGAATTAACATAGTCTTTGTAGATCCCACCAAACAACTGGGTGGGAACATGTAGATTGGGTGTGTTTCCGCTTTTCCTGATGGGTCTCTTAAGAGAAATTGGGGGAAGAGACAGGATTATTTGATTCAGTTGCGAGTGACTGTTAACTGTGATTGTTGAGACTGTAAAAATTTAGGAATTGGGCCATGAACCACAAGGTCAGCAGTTCGAAACTACCAGCTGTTCCTCGGGAGAGAGAGATGAGGCTTTCTGCTCCTGTGAAGATTTACAGCCTTGGAAACCCTGTACAGGGTCACTGTGAGTCAGAACCGACTCCATGGCACATAACCACCATAACCAATGTGTTTGGTGGATTTGCCATTCTGCTGGGGTTAAAATGAGCCATCTCAGAAGCAGGAGGGAACGGGGCTCAATACCATCAAGAAAGAAGAGCTAGGAATGGATCACCTCTTTTGGACCCTGAGATCCCAGCACATTGAACCTCCTCGATCCAGGGACAGAAACGTATGACACCACAGAAATGGCAGAGGAGCGACATCAGCAGGAGCAAGATCCTGAACATGAGACTGAGAGGAGGGTGTCCTGACCCATGAGGCTTGTAAAGATGAGTGCCTTCAGGCAGAAGTGGGGTACCTCCAGGCACTGAATTCAGGGAGCTGGTTTTGCACCTTCAGGTTGAGGTTTATAGCCACATGGAGGACCCTTTAGGCATTTCCCTGAAGCCCTACAAAAGCTTTGTACTATTTTTTAATTTTTTTTATTTAAAGTTTTTATTGTGGATTGAGTGAAAGTTTACAGGGCACATCATCAGCTTCACATTCAACAATTCATATAACTTGTTTCATTACATTGATTATAATCCCCTCCATATACCATCAGTTAAAAGTATTTCTCTTTATCCACTTTA